ATCTTTGAAGGCTCTCAGCTGATCACTGAAGTTCTGCTGAGCCCTTTCATAGCTCAATTCTTTCAGCTTCTGGGTTTCGGAGTTGAGCCATTTTCTGAATCTTTCCCATAGAGAATCAGAAGCAGCAAGATTAGAAGTCTTTTGACTTGCTTTCTTCAAAGAAGTAAGCCATTCCTGTATTTCTGTTTAAAAAATCAACAGATTCTTACCAACATCTGATTTGGTTGAGGTTGGTTTAGGTTTGGGGGTGGAAATTTTGTTTGAGGTGGAAGCTAGTTGGTCCAACACTTGTAGATCAATGACAAGTCTGAGGTTGTTAGTTGGATGGTTTATAGGTGAAGGAGTGGAAGAGTCAGAAATCAGGATTGGTGAGTTAGGGGTGTTTGGTGGAGTGGATTCATATGGTGAAGGTATTTCTGGAATATCATGAATGGAGAGAGGTAAACGAACTGTAAGAGGTGATGTTATCCCAGGAATTGGGGTAGTGGTATCCGAGTTTGAAAGGGAGTCTTCTGATTGGTTTGCAGTAGTGTGTTGAATTTATGGTTCAGGTATTTCAGAAGATGGGTTTTCAGATTGAGGAGTGAGAGGGTTTTCATTTTCTGGTTGGGGTGAGTTGAGGTTTTGATGTTCTGGTTGAGGAGAGTGTGGTTGTGGATTTTTTGGTTGAGGAGAGTGTGGTTATGGATTTTCTGGTTAAGGAGAGTGTGGTTGTGGATTTTATGGTTGTTGAGGTTGAGTGTTTGGATTTACTGGGAGTGATGAAGAAAAGTATTGATCAAACAGTTCAATATCAGATAGAACTCTAGCAAGTTCTGGTTGACGTTGTTCTGGATTTGGATTTTGATTGGGGGAGTGAGGTTCATTCAAGAAATTTCCAAGAGTTACAGATGTGTCAAACCCTATGTCAAAATCCTCAAATGTTTGGGGTGAAGGATTTTCTGTTTGTTGAGGGGGAATGGTTTCAGATGTTGGAATAGCTATTGATTCTACAACAGAAACAAATGAAGGGTTACCTTTCTTTTTCGCATATTTGGGTGTCCTCTGAGAGGATCCTTCTCCTGCTGCCTTCCTCTTTCTGGATTTCTTTAGCACAACCTCTGGAGCTGGCTTGTGCAGATCTTGGATGTTGATTTCTGGAATAGTCCCATCAGCCTTGCAAGCTTCAAGCTATCTGACTATAATCTCTATAGAGGCATCTATCTCAGAAAATAGTGGAAAATCCTTCAGAGGGATTCTCCTAGAAGTGATGACCTCATGAGAAGAAATTGTTGGTTCCTTCTTAATGTTCTCAATAATCTTCATTTTCTTCAGATTCTTGGCATTTAAAGGTTTCCCAGCAGTTGCTTCCAGAGTACTGATTTCTTGAGCCTTTGTGAGATGTTCTATCAGCCTGTTTTCTGTTAGAATATCTGAAATCAATCTTCCTAGAGGAATCCAATCCCTCTTAGTTCTTTCTTCTTCTCTTGTCTCTTTCACACTTGTTCTGAGATGGTTGAAGAGCAAATATGGAAGGTTTATCTTGGTCTTCTTTGCAATGAAGTAAATCAGAAACTGCTGATCAATATTGATTTAATCAGGGGAGTTTGTAGGTTTCCCGTGATTGATACATCCCAGAATTATTCTAGCCCAGATTCTGTAATGGTCCTTCAAGTCTCTGATCTTGCTGGATGGCTGTCCAGAAGTGAAGATTTCCCTAGCAATATATTTTAGGTCAGAGCACTTATCATCCATATCAATGCATCTGACTCCACCTCCATTGTATCCAATGAGTTTCCCAATCAAATCTTCTGTAATCACTATCTTCTTCCCCATAACATATGATGTGACCTGGTGGTTGGATGAGGTAGCATGAATCCAAAACTCTTTAACAAGAATGGGAAAAGTTGGACCCAACAAACGATCAAAGTATTTGTTCCATCCCTGTGCAGTTACATCTTCATACAAATTAAACCCATTTTCTTGTAAGCTTTCAAAATCAACGATCAATTCACAGAGAACTTCAAGGTTGTCAACCAGAGTGAGTAGCGTTATAATGGGATCTTCATACGATTCAGTTGATGAAGAATCAGGAGCACTGTTGAGATTCTTGAGACTTGATGATGATGCCATTGTTCACACGAATTCTTTGAAGAAAATTGATGGAAGGGGTTTTTGAAAAAGAAACTAGAACAAGAGAGAATATTGAAGATGGTAAAACGTGAATGAATGAAATAGTAAATTGAGTTTATATAAGTTCTTTAGAAAACGTAATCAGTAAGAAAGAGAAAAATAAGTAATGATTATATTTTAAATTTGTTTTCAGAAAAATATGCGAAAGCTTCCTGGAATCTCCAATCGTTTAAACGATTCTCTATTGAAAAGATCGGATATGCGAAACCGTATGGGATATAATGACAAAATAAAAATCAATGCATTTTACTCAATTAATCAATTACTTATACACTCTCAATGATTACTAATTACTACCAATGAGTTGAATGAGATAAGGATAAGTACAATTAATAATTTTATGGATTAGTCAATTTGTCAAACACCTTGTGAACAAAGCACCTTAGGTTTGGTTTTAAAAAATTGTAGTGGTAAGTTTTCTTAGGTATCAATCAAAAGGATTGTTACTAATCTTTTGAAATGAACTCAACACCCTACAATTTCAGTAAGTGCATATTTGACAAATTAATTTTCGCACAGTTTAGTAATTAAGTATAGCGATGAAGAAAAAGCAGAAGAACACACGATTTGTTAAGGCAGTTCCCCTTGTCGTCCTCGCGTAGGGTACGTCTTCCCCCAATTCTAGAATCTAGAATTGAGATATTTGATATTAATTTGCATATGATACAAGAGAAGAGATAGTTCACAATACAAACAAACCAATGTTGCTGATGTAACAGTCTTCTTCCCTTTCCTTGGTTTAAGCAAAACCAAGTGCAAATTCTTCGAGCAAACCTCCAGTTACCGCTACTTGATTAAGCAAACCCACAGTTTCTTAATTCTTTCACTCGGATGGTTTCAATTGCAAGCAATTTGACCCCAAATCTATCTTCACAATCCTCTGGTTACCGCTACTTGATTAAGCAAACCCACAGTTTCTTAATCCTTTCACTCGACTGAACTCAATGAAGCAAAGACTTGTGCAAAAACCCCGCACCAATAGCAATCTTGGAGGAGAAAATCCCAATGATTTTATTCAAGAACAGCCCACAATTGCTCAACCCAAATCTGAATTGAATCCTTGATTTGAACGTTATTACCACAACAATTTTCTTGAATCAACAATCATGATTATGTGTAGATGTTGATTTTTGAGAAGAGAGGATGAAGATGATGAGAACTATGTGTATCTTACACTAGTTATTGTTGACTGCAAATAATGATGCATAATGAATATATATATATGTTACCTAATACCCAATATTCGCAAACATAGAAGAAAATCAGTTGAGGCCAACGAGCGGTCGACTCAACCAGAAGCAAGGGTCGGCGCGACACAACCCGCACCCAAAGAGAAAATTGTTTTAAAGTGTAATGCATCGACCGCTTCAGGACTTGCATTGACGCAAACTTTAAATATTCTAATTCCCATGTTGAATCGACCAGAAGGGTCGACGCAATACATCCAGCAGTCAGAGAGAATTCCATTTTGAAGTGCAGTGCATCGACCACTTTAGGGCTTTTCTCAATGCAAACTTTGAGTGTTTTGATTTCCAGTTTGAGTCGACTGGAAGGGTCGACTTGAAACATCCAGGGCTTCATTGAAGATTATGAGTCAACCGCACCTATCTTTGAGTCGACGCACATATTGAATTTTCTCAAAAATACTTGTTTCTGGAGATCTTCATTTCAATACTTCCATTGCAAGATTGTTCATAGAGCCAACCAAAATAGAGAGATATTAATAATCGTTTTGACATCATTAAAATACTTATAGAGGGACTTTGTCCTCACATGTCTCATTGACATGCCTCGTGCACCACTAACCACTTCGCGTGCCCTCGTTGGCCTTAGGTGTTACATGCTCACCAACTTCTGCTTGGTTTGTCCCCAAACCACATTGTATAGGGAGAGGTATGTCTCTGATACAATTTGTAACGTCCCAGACTACCTTCGGGATTATCAACTGACCCCACAAACCAAAACGGGTGTTTTAAGCACGATTTGTCCTCACTTACACACTTTGTGAGAAATTTCCCAGAATTTCACAGGTCTGACTCTGATACCATTTGTAACGCCCCAGACTGCCTTCAGGATTATCGACTGATCCCACAAACCAACACGGGTGTTTTAAGCATGATTTGTCCTCACTTACACACTTTCCGGGAAACTTCCCAAAACGTCACCCATCCCAAAATTACTCCAAGTCAAGCACGCTTAATTGTGGAGTTCTTATGGAACAGACTATCGAAAAGAAGATGCATCTTGTTGGTATAAGTAGTATCAATTAATCTGTTTAATCCTTCCTTCAACTATACAATCATATACATGTACATCCTCAGGATCCCTCTCGTTCTGATGTGAATTCGGAAAACACTCCTTACCCTATTCAGCCTCGGGAGTGTCTCATTGACATGCCCTGTGCATAGACAACCACTCCCCTTTCCCTCGTTGGCCTCAGGTGTTACACTATATCTCTTCTTGGAAAAAAGTTCAACAATTCCTTGAAGTATTTAGACAGAAAGTAGAGGACAAATGTCCAAAACAAAAGAGATCCAACATCAGACCCCAGAACACAGGGAAGAGTCAAGACAAACCAGATGATGGCAGGGGTACTCATTTCGTTAAATGTGTAGATTTTGGACACATTAAAGTTGAATGTCCTACCTTTTTTAAGAGACAGAAAAAAGGGATTATCGATAACTTGGTCTGATTATGATAATGAAAGTGAGGGAGAAACTGCCAATAATGTGATAGTTTACTCTGGTAGATCTAAACATGAAGGTGACTTTAGTTTTGAAGATCTAACTGAATAAGAAGTTGAAACAACATTCAGGTTACTTCACACTATGTGGGAAGAAGCATGCTCAACAATAGCCAATCAGAAGATAACCATAAGTGTTCTTAAGAATGAAATAGAGAAGCTTGGATATGCCATCACAAGTTTAGAAAAATAGGCCTCTTCACTAAACTCCAAAATAGATTATTTGATACAGTTGGAAAGTAATTTAAAGACTATCTCATATTTACTTGATAGAATAGTGGAGTTTGGAGATATGTCTAGTGATATGAAGATGATAAATATTGGAACGAGCGTGAAAGAGATGAAGATTCCCTCAGAAAAGGTTATTACATCAGAAAATGACACTAAGGTTCTGATATCTAACCACATGTCCCAACATCGTGCTCAACATGTATCATTTCATCACCATAGTAAAAAGAGATTAACTGTGAAATGTCACTATTGTGGTAAAGTTAGACATATACGACCTTATTGCTATGAACTACATGGACATCCTCTTCAAGATAGTCTAAAGAAGCTGAAAATCAAAGGAAGCAACAAAGTCCATGTCATGAAGAAGTATGCTACTTCAACTCTCTCCATAACTCATACAACATGCAGAGGTTCTTCGAGTGAATAACAATTTTATAATAATGGAGGTACCTGGGACATGTCTAAAGAAAAGATAACTCATATCACTCCTGGTTATAGAGAAAAGGGAAGGATCAAGACCTTAAGGTAGTTGGTTAAGTCTAATCATAAAGGTATGCTACTAAAGAAAAGATCAACAATAAATATGATAAACATAAACCTTTGAGGTGGTCAAATGAGAAATATGAGCTTCCACAAATCTAGAGGTGTTGTCATCAACAAAAGGAAAAAAAGTTCTTATAAAGAAGGTCATATCTGAGGAAGACGTCAAGATCTTACAAGATCCCAAGATTGATAAAGGTGATATATATGAAGATGAAAGACCAACCAAGATGTTAGAACAAATGTTTCAACATCTTACTCGGGAGTCTGAATTATCTCATGAGGATTGTGTCTTTAAAGGGAAGGTTGACGGTCATGCTGAAGGTGCTTCTAATATTGAACAACCTATAGTGGTTCAGAAGGAAAAGCTGAAGAAGAAGAAGAATGGTTAGGAATAACTCATCCTAATATAATGACTTCTTGTTGGAATTGAGACTTCACACACAAGAGGGGTGTGAATTGTCTGGTTTGGAAAAACTTGGTTTTGAAAACTTTTTGAGATTAAAACCAGAGTTTGAAGAATCTTTTTCTAAAAACTAAGCAGCAGAAATAAAAGGCTATAAATAAAATTGGACACCGGGAATTATAGAGGTTCAGTCAAATAAAAAGGCATACTCCTCTCCCCAAGAACTAGTCTTGAGAGTTTCTATTATACACTTGAGAGCTTTTAGTAGGTGAAACTCATGAATCCCTTATACAAGGAAATGTTAGTTGTCCTACAACCATTATAATATAAGACATGGGATATGATTGTTTGCTTCTTCTATATTGCTTAGACTAAAGTGGCCAAACTTCCTTCCCAATTGTAGATTGAAGTGGTTAGACTTCTCTTCACGAAATATCTGAGCTCAAAATGGTTTAACATAATAACCATTAACCTTTGGAGATTTTAACAAGTTGATCTTCTAACATATGATTTTAAACAGCCTAACCATGAATCTAACGGTAAGTTCATAAATATTGATAATCTTCAACCTTTGAATAAACAAGCTTTCAAAAAGCTTTAAGGGAAGTTCATCAATTTTAATGATCTTCAACCTAATCAATCAAGAGAACTAATCACACAATCTCCAACCAAAGCTTTTAACGAGTTTAGCTTCAAACCACATATTTTTATCTCTAAAATGGACGGTGTTTATCTAAGGTGTATAAACATCAATTTTGAAGAACTCTTACATTGCTATCCATCCAAAATTACAACAACAATTAGTAGAATAAAATTAATCATGAGAAACTTTTTCGAGAAAAGTGAATATGGAAAATTGCTACTATTATTGTGGTCTAGAATTTCTAGAGTATGTTAATCGATTAATAATACAACGTTTAAATAACTATATGTTGGGCTATAAACCTCTTATTGGACTTAATTTTATTATGCAACTCATCGTGATTCATTCGGGCAAAAATAACCTAGTGTTTAATAGTTATTGACCATATATAATAGTTAATAATTGATCATGTCAATTTATATTTAATTAATTAAATAATTAATTTAACACATATCAAATAGGTTAAAAAATGTATATAACTTGACAAAAACTTTTAATTTCCAAAATAGACAAAAGATAATCACAGTTCACGTCTTGGCAACAAGTCAAGCTACATACAGGAAACAACCACTACATTTGTCCAAAGAATAAAAACAACCACCACATATCTCTTATCCGTTTGCATTACTTGCATCCAAATTTTTTAATAAGAATTTGGGAGACAATTCATCACTCCAAGTCTCGGATTTGGATGTATACTTGGAAGTCAATCCATGGACAAACAGTCACTGTTCTTTTTCCATATACTTGGATTAACAGAAATAATGGAGGAAAGAGACTTTAAGAGACAGGACTGAGATATTTTATAAATGAAAACAATCAACATATATATTTTTCGAGTCTCCTTTAAAAATTGAAAAAAATAACAACACAACATTTGATATACTTTGAATATAATATATTATATTATAGACTTAAATGTAAATTGAATTAATCATGCATATAGATTGCTCTAAATTTTATTCATGCATTTTATTATTCTAAATGAATAATGCCTAGTTCAATTCTTGTTTTAAAACTCATACTGTTTCAACCGATTAAACCAGTTAAACTTTGAATTGAAGAGTAGAGTTATCTGTTAAGATCATCAGATCATAATTGTAATTTATCCGATAAAAATCAATGTGATCTTACTTATTCATTGATCAAATTAATAAATCGTGACTTTCTTAATTTGACGAGTTGATTTTTTATGTTTAATTTTTAGCGAAATTACAATTTTAATTCACTACTTTTTTTTCTTAAGTTTTGATGCTTTTATTTTAAAGTTTAATTTTATTAATATTTATAATTATGTTAATTATTTATAATAATTAAATAATATTAAAATTACAAAAATAAAATTTTGTCAAATTTTCAAATATGACCTATAAACCTTTCAAAATTATTAGAATTGTAGTTTGACCAACTACACCATGAATTTTTTTAGTATTTAATTTGATTAAAGCGAAATTTTTTTATATATTCTATAATTATAATATTTTCTCTAATATATTCTCATTAAATTTATTTATTATTAATTTTATAATATAATAATATAATAAATCACTTTACGATATAATAGTACTATAAACTAACAAAATTATTGAAAAATCATGTTATTAAAGAAAAATGAAATGATATTTTCATATTACTTTTAATATGAATCTCATTATTTAAAATATAAAAAAAGTATATGTTGCCAAAAGAAGTTGAAATTAAATTTTCACAATAAATCTCATTGCTATTTTTATGTAAAATTCACATATTTTTTTTACTTTTTTTATAAATTTTATTTTTCAACTCTATCTTTTATTTTTAATTATTTACATAGAGCATAATATTTGTTATTTTGTATACTTCCTAGTATGAACAAATTGTTATATTTAGAAGTTGGAATATTATTTAAGATTGTTATTCAATTTATTTGAATGAATGTAAATTCATGGAATTTTCTTTTGTAGATTTTATAATTTTGAAATTTATTGTTTATTTTTTTATATTAGTTTATGATATTATATATCATACAATTACTTTTCCAATTTTTATTGATTTTCTAGTGTTGTACCATAAAATTTGTCCTCTCATTTCTCAAAAAATTTCTCACAAGATCTTTCATGACATCCAGTTTGCAGCACTGATACATCAATTTAGGTTTGGAATTGGCACAAGGGTAAAATGGTCAATTGCACACTGAAAAGTCAAACTTTGACTTTTGGATCAAAATCAAGTTTCAAGAATCATATTTCATCAAGACATGTTGGAATATAAAGTTTGTTTCATCAAGAAAATCAAAAGTCAAAATTACTTTGGAAAAGTCAAAATTCTAAATACTTAGAAATTTTTCAAAGTGTTTAGGAAATATGATAAATTCACAACTTCTGGCCAGATTTTCACCACGATGCAAGTTGATTCTGGAAGAACTTCTAACACAAGAGTTGTAGATCTCAATGAGATCTAAAACATTTCAGAACAGAACTTCTTTTAGAAGTGCTGGGATTTCAAGTTATAAATCCTTGAAGACACGTCTATGAAACTAAAGCACTCAGTAAATTTTGGGCCTTTCAAGACAGAATTTGGTTAGAACTTCTGGACAAGTTTTCACGAAGGTTCAATCAGAATTTTCAAGAGTAATTCAAAGAGGGTCTGCAAAGCATGTTACAAGCTTTCTGAAGAGTCTGAAAACTCCTTCAGAACATGCTAGAGCAGGGAGATTCAAAGATCAGAAGTTGGATATTTGTTGTAAGTTACGCTGATGCTGAAATTCAGATCCAGATTAAGCTATGATACATAATCTCATACTGCAGGTTTTATGTTTTGATAAATCTCATCATCATTTAATGCTCACACCCACTTTTGAATCTTTATCCAAAGGATTTCTTCACGTGTGATATAGAAGTACCATTGTTGTCCTTGAAAAGCAAACTGTTGTACAAAGTTTATGCTGGGCCCATGCTCTACTCTTGCTTCTGAGGGTACTTTTTCATAATTCATGCTTACAAATTCAGATTAAGCGCGGCTAAAACTGCTAACCACCTTACTTTGTGCCTTGAACCATACTTATTTAAACTTGCTTCAAGAACAAGTCAGCGCCCTAGCATATGATGACTGTACTATTGACTTCTCCAAGATACTAAATCTTTGTCTATAAATTGAACTTCATTTGCAACTATTAAGGAGGTCGAAGATTAGAGAAAAAGCCTTGAAACTTTGCTGAAATTTTAAAGAATTTGAAACTGTAAACACAAAATACAAAACCTGCTAATTTCTGGTTTTTTGCATCCAAGCTCTAATCTTCCTTGTGCATTTCCCACCCAAATCACCCACACAGCTTCTGATATACATTTAGAAGTTGTCTCAACTTCTGTTTTCAGACTTTAACACAGTCTTCATCAATCTCCATCTCAAAAAACTAGAACATTGCTTCTTGGTTGCTCCAGATTTTCCAGCCATCCATGTTTCAGGGTTGTTCTAGCTTTCTGAGAATTGAAGGAAGCAAACCAGAACATCATAGGAGTCAGAACCAGGTTCTAGTTCATAGAACAATTTCCAGCTGCAAGGTAAGTTTCTTCTGACTTTTACCTCAGTACTTAGGCATTGATAGACTTGCATGTCCAAAAATATAATGTAGACATCCTGACTCTGATTCTGTACATATTCATAGATTTCATGCATTTTTTGCCTAAGTAGAGAGAATTTTAGTTCAGAACTTCTTGAGGAAATTAGGATTCAGAACTAGGATTAGCAAAATTCATGTTTGCCTCTGATTTACAGTTCTGATGCTTTATATTTCTGAAACCATGACGAAACCTGCCATAACTGCTCTGTGTTCATTTTCTGTTTTGTTGAGAAATGGCTAAGCTGCAGATACTCTGACTGGCGTGGAGAAGGAGATGAAATTCATCATCAGAGTTTACTTTGTAATATATATGTTTATGTTTTTGCTTCTAATACCGGATGTATAGCCACCACAGTGATAGAGAGCATGTGCATAAGACGTTAGTGTTAAGGGTCCTGAGTTCTAGCCCCAGAAACACCATTTTTTATATTTATTTCCTAACATTTTTACCCCTTTAGTTGGATCAGAACTTCTAGATCAATCCCCTTTAATTGCTTGTCAAAATAGTGACCCTGGACTAGAACCTCTAGACATTCCCATCAAACAGCATTGACACCTCACATATCCATTATCAGAACTTCTAGCTTTCCAGTGACACTAGAACTTCTAGATTTCCAGCTACATCAGAATTTCTAGACTCTCTCACCAACTAGAACTTCTGACCTTCTAGTAACATTAGAACTTCTAGACTGCCGGTTGCACCAGAACTTCTAAGATCTCTCTTGTTCCCAACAACCCCAGAGCT